AATAGTTACATTTTTCTTATTAGCAGACTGAGAAGAATTACATCACATGAAACCTTACTAACGGCGTACTATGCATAGATTTATTTTATTCTGCACTCGATTATGGTCTTTTGCTTTGGGGTAACAGTACAGATGCTGTTAAGGCCTTTACAGCCCAAAAGAAATTTATTCGAGCTATGAATGGTTTGGCACCGGATTCATCATGTAAACCGTATTTTAAAAAATTTCACATTTTGAGGCTGCCATGTATGTACATCTTAAATTTGGTATGTTTTACTTTTATTCACAAAATTAGGAAATACTGCACAGAGAAACTTGAGGCATACTGAAAGATTGACACATAGTGTAATGCCAAGCACTAGCCTCTATAGGAAAAATTGTTCAGCTACGTGTATAAAAATTTTCAATGCACTGCCTACAGAGCTTCAATCACTCCCAAAAGTACGTTTTCGCAGGATTGTCAAACAATGGCTTGAGGAGCAATGCTTCTACTCCGTTGAAGAATATTTAAAATTTATGATTAGGATTAGGCATCGATATTAAAATGAATTAAGTAACTACTATCATATTATTTTAATTAAATTAAATGTAATAAAATTATTATGATGATTTTGAAAACATGTTATTAATATATTGGTTGTGAAAATGTAATTAATGTATAAGATAAATATTTATATATCAACATTATGACAAAACATGCTGGACTTAAATAATTTATCAACCTGTAATGTACCATGTTTTCTGCAAATAAATTATGATTATGATTATTATTATAGGAGTAATTTGAGTTACTGCAAGTTTTAGAAAGTGCGCTGAAATGTTATCCCATCCAGGAGCACTGTTTGATTTTAGGCTCACGATAATATCATGTACCTCGTAAGGATCTGTATCCAGCAAGAAAAGATAAAAACTGGGGTTGTCCAACCTTTACCTACATAGGCAACGAAGTTATTAAGATAATTTACGGAAATTAATGGTGTTGCTTTTGTTTGTAATAAATCTGTATTACTTATTTTTTTTTTAATTTAAAAGCGCTATTCTTTTAATATTATTCCAAAGACTTTAACTGTTATTGCGAGACACCCGCCGGACTTGTCTTTCATAACTCTGTTTTGCTTTTTTTTATTTTATTACAAAAGTTACGATATCTCTTATATATAATTTTTTGAATTTCATTGTGAGGATCGGAACGCAACTTTTTTGCAAATTAATGCGATTTCTAATACAACGCACAATGCCAGGTGTTATCCAAGGTTTAAGATGCGTTTATTTTTTGAAAGATGCACAATCTTTGTATTTTCTTGTAACGATTTGCTCAATTTATTAACTACCATTTCCGTAACTGTATTGGGATTGTCACAAAAAAGTAATTCAGTAAAGATTATTTTGTAAGAAGCTGTTAAAAGCATTTTTAAAATCTGTAATTGTTTTTGTCTTTGTGCAATCATTTATTAATTTTAAGTTAGCTAGGTTTAGTAGTATCATTGAGTGATCATTAATTGTTGTAAATAAGACAACAATTTGAGCACAGACCTTACCTTGTATTAGCTTTAGAATAAAGTGATCTAGGCAACTGGTTTCTCTTGTCGGCAAATAGTGACTGGGTATTAAGCCGTGCATACTTAACATATTTAAATAAGTTTCTTTTACTATTATGTTTTCTAAATGCATACTTAATGAATTAATGAATTTATTGGCGTTTGTATTTGAAGGAGAGCGGTATATTCCCAAGATAGTGTTGTTGTATGCATCTATTTGTAAGCATGAGGCGTGTTCTAATTTAATTTCTTTAGCATTTATAGTATTTTTGATACACACTACTACTCCATCACTCTGGTTGAGGTGAATAATTTGCTTGTTTAGTTTATTAACCGATAATCCGTGCTTATTTTCTTAAACTCAATATGAAAGTTCCAGTGTCATTACGCAATTATAAAATAATAATTATAATCAAGAATCACAAAAAGGCACGTTATTTTCTTCAACTGATTATAAGTCGCCTTGGCCCGTTTTATTGACGCCTTTTAAATTTTTCTTACAATGACACCTAAATACATTTCATTATATTGTTAGTGATGATAACCTTTAATTATTATCTTCATTTTATCATATTTCGTCACACAAAATAAAAAAAAGACTGTAAAGGCATGGTGTAATAAAAGATATCGGAGAAACTAAAATCTCTCTCAAGCAAGGTACTAAATTTGATTTTTTAGCCTATATTAGATCGTCGAATGAACATGACTTTGATTACATACTTGTCTAGATAGAGTGTTGCGCTACAATCGCAACACTCTATAAATGTGCTTATTACACACACAAGTATGCCGTCGTTGCTGTCCTCTGCAGGGCATAAATGCCGTGCAGGTCACGGGCCTCGGGGTGTACCCCTTTACCCGGATGTTCCTCACGGCACACTACAATGTGCCGGTCCTGGGCGCCTTGATGTTGAAGGCGTTGCTATAACGACTATTGTCGCAGTCGGTTAAATTATAAGTAGAGGGAGGTTATCTATAATTGTGTTTAAATAACACAATTATTTGTCAAAGTTGGCCTTTTTGCGGCATTGAGGGGTTTACTCGGACTCCCTAATCTATATAAGGAGGAGTTCTCTTGGATAAGGTCGCCCGTCCGGCGGCCTTGCATGCAACGGCGCGAAGCCGTTGAGGTGTTCGTGTGGCCCGTTGTCGGCACGGTCAAACATACCGCGCGCCAGCCGGACCACGAATTCATGAAGGCTCTCTATCTTGAGGTTGGCCGCTATGACGTCATTACGGACGTAGCGACCCGCACCGACTATAGTTCTTAATGACAAATTCTGCTGGGCCTGAAGTCGCCGCTTCTGACGATCGCTCAGGAGTGCATACCAGGCCGGAGCAGCGTATGTTAGCAGGGGTCTTATGTAGGTTTTATAGATGGTTATCTTCGACTTTGTCGGTAACTTGGATGTCAGGACAGGACGTAGCATTGCCCGCGCACATCGAGCTTTGCGTATAGCAGAGTCAAAGTGCGCAGTCATACGCAGCATCCTGTCAATCCGACATCCAAGGTAGGTCACGGCCTTCTCATATGCGATCTCCTGGCCTCTGAGGATTAGCCTGGTGGTGGTAGGTTTCTATAGCGACAAGTATGCGTAACTATTATTGTTTAACAAGCGCGCTGCGTTACTCGGGGGCGAGCTGAGCCTGAGTGATACCAGCTCTTAAATATTTCCCATTAGATTAAGTTCTCATTTGAACTTTATTTTTTTTATATTTAAAGTATAAATACAGTAAAATTAAATATAAATGTTATAAATTGAATTGAATTAAATATAAAATTTTATACTTATTTTTATTTGCGGAGTTATAATGTTATAAAATAATAATGGTTGACATGACAATGGTACTTTTAATTTAATTTAATATTAATTATGTATATTGTATTGACTTACTTATAAAAATAATGCTTTAATATATTATGTTAAATAATTTTCACATGTCAGATGTGATAAAGATGTGGACTATGTACAACTATTTGTCATCTTTAATTTACTATATATTTATGTAGTTTTAGTTATAATTCTATAAATATATAAATGAAAATAATAGATATACATACACATATCAATAAAATAAATAAATAAATAAATAATATACATAAATAAATAAAATCCAACGAGATGTGAAACCTCGGCAGGGCAGAGACCACGAGAACGGTCGAGTCTTTGGTTACATACTTATTTTTAATCAGATGAATGTTAAAAAAATAGGTTAAATAAAGTAATTATTTTGTAGATTACTTTTATTTATTTTAGTAACAACATAAATACAATGAAAAAATATAAAAATATTAGAAAGAACTAACTAAAATACTCTTTAGTGCATGACGTCATGGGTTTAATTTAATTTGTGTAGGTAAGTTATTATTTACTGATCAATTAAATAAAGCAATTTTTAAAATAATAATGTTCTCCTGATCAAACGATATATATTTATATTAGTGATCTAGGTGTTATTATACGGTTTTCTCACTTAATTGCGACACAATTTACCAGCATATATAACTAACCGGCATAATTAATTATTTTTCGTGAGCACTTTATCCCTGATTTAAACTACACTGACGTAGATGAGAAGCGAGTCTACCAATTTTAGTAGACTTTATTTGGGTCGTTCTGTATGGACAATGTGGCATCTAGGCAGGTATATAATAAAAGGAACATGAACCTATCAAAAATACAAAAAAAATGAGAGGAGGATGTAGTAAGCCATCTCACAAAGCGATACCTATGCTCAAGCACTCTCTCTGTGTAGCATTCTTACTTTCCTATATTCATATTACTGCCGTAAAACCAGATCCTGCACTAAAGAGCGAAAGCATTCATATAACATAATAGATTATGCCAAGCGTCGAAGGCAAATTGGTCATGGTCGGACCAGGTGCACCATGATCGATCTGGACATCTATCCATCACTCAATTTAATTAATAAGCGAACGAATACCTTACGGGACAACGATTTAATAAAAACTTCACAGAAAAATGTTTGCTGGTAAATCGCATACATTCTTAATTTACATAAAGGTAAAGTAGGTAAGGTACGAAATCATATTTCAATAAACATTTAACGTATAAAAGATCCGATATTAACACCTATATCACCAACTAGCACGTGGCCCACTGAATATTCTTATAAGTGTCCGATAAACAGTTTGAATATATACGAACGTGGATACGGTTGAAAGAAAGTTATCTAGGTTGTCATTAGTTTTCAGAATATAACAATCGCCCACTCTCCCCTACTCTTTGTAATTGCTTGTAAAAATTTCATTAGCAAAGTCCTTTAAACAACAATGCATATTTTAAGCACGATTAAATTATTAAATAAGGCATTTATTTTAGAATGGCGTATGAATGACTCTTATAAATATCACAATTTTACATATTTTCTTACATGTACTTGGCTACTTCATAACAAACTAAATTATCTGCCTAGTGTGTTCTCAGTCTCAAAGCTTACCTTGTAAAGGAATAAAAGCAAGCATGAACCCGACTCCGACCACCGCCGCCCAGCCAATCTCCAGCCACATAAAGTATGCGACAATGACGGTAGCCAGTGGCCCGATCCACAGGTAATGTAGGAAGATGATGGCCACGTCGAAGCGGTTCACGTCGTTAGACAACAAGTTTACAACTTGGCCGACCGTTGTCTCTCCTAGGGCTGTTTTGGAAAGCCTTAACGACTGTAAAGAAAATATTAGTTTGAAAATATTCAAAATATATATAGTTTATAAGAGAACAACTTTTAATTCGATACTTAAGAGATTCCACTCAAATATTACAAAGGGATATTTGTCCACAAACGCCTGTCAATTGATGCGTTCTCTGGAACCACAAATTACCCACTATTAGGGGGTAATCTGTGTCTGGAACCGACCTATATGTGGTTCACTCAGAATGTTATGCAAAACTAAAAAAAATCTATGGTTAAAGTTTTTATTATTACATAATATTTTCGAAGAACTATCCACAAACATCTACAACATGTAACAGAAACCCTGTGGTTCCAGTTAACTGCGTTATCAGAATCAGTATCCAAGCATATAGAAATATTTTTTTTAAAAACACATTTAAAAAAATAATTTTAATGAAAAAAAAATTTGCAAATTGTATGTGGTTTTATTATCTCTGCATTGGCCGAGGAGTAAGAGTATTGTCAAAGACCCCGCATTAACGATACTCGTGTGAGTTAGAGGAAATAAAACCACGTACAATTTGCAAATTAATTTTTTTCCATTAAATATAATTTTTTTAAATGTTTCTTTGAAAAAAAAATTCTATACGCTTGGATACTGATTCTGATAAAACACTTAACGGGAACCACAGGGTTTTTGTTACATGTTGTATACAAACAACAATTTAAAATAATAAATCGATATATCCCTTTGTATTACTCCTGGCTACAGTTGGATTGTACTTGGTATAAATTCAAGATTCATCGCCTGCAACAATTTTGTAAACACGCTGAGACGAGCCTGCTTCTGAGCAACTGAGCTTCTGAGCAGGGTTTGAGGCGGGTTGTGCGGCCTATCACGAAATTAACCTCCTTATGCGGTGTTCGTGTAAAATTTTGTGAACGCTTCTCGATCCTATGTGCAATACGTGCTGAACCCCTCTCCATACATTATTCGCCTATTACCTTCCAATATAACTAGCAGTAAAAAAAATAATTACCTTCAATTATTTTTTTTTACTGCTAGCACGTTTCCATTCGTAACTGCCTCAAAGAGCGACGATAAAAAAGTACTTATTAACTCTCAAAATTACACTGTTGCCTTAGAAAGGCCTTTATCTATAAACGCTATTTGAAGTCTATCAAAAAGATTAGTCTTGTTTTAAGCGACGTTTTGAATTTGTAAAAATTGTAACATGAAAATGTTTCCGGCATAAAACCATTTTAATGAAACAGAACAATTTTTTATAGAAATTATTTTTTTTTTTTTTTTTTTTTTTTTTGTTTTGTTTTTTATAAACAGCACTACAATTATTTCCATATATTTCGAAAAAAAAATGTAAAGGAAAATTTAAAATTTTGTAATATTAACTCGTAAATAATCGTCTCATGCAAAAACCTTTTTTTCGCAAAACTTTCTGCGTGGAAAATTGATAGTTTTGTAATTGAACCTACTTTTAGTTTAAGATTATCAACATGGTATTTTTTTCCATTTACGTTAAATTTAATCCTATATATTTAAACAAAACCAACATGATCACTTTCATTCAAGTTTCTTCAGTTATAGTAAAAGACGTCAGCCACACATTCAATAATGTCAACAACTATATAAATCAAATAAATACATTAATATCACTTAATTACTAGTAGGTCAGTCAGCACACTCTTGTTTACGCCATTAAATCATTTATTGAAGGCAATAATTAATTATTATACAATAACATCATAACACAGGCATTACACTAATTGTAAATGTAAATGATAATACATTGTCATTCATTTTCGCACATCACAAGTCCTATAGCTGAACATAGTCTATCTCTATAGATTGCAACAATTTTGAGCACAGTCCCGAGTCACCGGATTTAATCGACTTGATTCATTTTTAACCCCCGACGAAAACAACGTGTGTATCTGTGTCTGTGTGCGTGTGCGTGGTGTGGTGTGTGTGTGTGTGTGTGTGTGTGTGTGTGTGTGTGTTTGTGTGTTGTGTGTGTGTGTGTGTGTGTGTGTGTGTGTGTGTGTGTGTGTGTGTGTGTGTGTGTGTGTGTGTGTGGTTGTGCGTGCGTGCGTGCGTGCATGCGTGCGTGCGTGCGTGCGTGCTTGTGTCCGTGCGTGCGTGCATGCGTGCGTGCGTGCGTGCGTGCGTGCGTGCGTGCGTGCGTGCGTGCGTGCGTGCGTGCGTGCGTGCTTGCGTGCGTGCGTGCGTGCGTGCGTGCGTGCGTGCGTGCGTGCGTGCGTGCGTGCGTGCGTGCGTGCGTGCGTGTTGTGTGTGTGTGTGTGTGTGTATGTGTGTGTCTGTATGTGGTATCGTAGCGCCCAAATGAACTAACCGGTACTTACGAAGCTGCCATTCGAGAACCTTTCTTCCCCATTGGTCGTCAGTTCTTCAAGCTACATGGCCCGTCATAGTTCGTGGAGATACTTTGAACATCCTGCTTTTTCTGCATTGCTGACTGTAGCAGTGCAAAAAAAGCTGCGGTTGTCAACCCGACTGCTAATAAATGACGATCTTAACAAATATCGCTATTCAAGGAACATAATATATATAATACGTAAGCCTAAACGTTTTCACAAAAATTATTATCTATTGAGTAAGTTATGTCAACAGTGGTGGACGTAACAAAATAACCAAAAAATCCAAAATTAAATGTGGTCAATAAGTATTTTAAAGATAATTAAGTATTAGTTACGAGTAAGAAGACAAAAACCAACCAGAAAACCGCAAACGTTTACTTCCATAAGTTTCCGTGAACCTAATGGCGAAACAACAATGTACACATCGAACTTAGGTACCTCCCATAAAAGATGAGCCGAAAAGCTAGTTTGGTTTGGTGAAAAACTAACTGCTAGTTTGGTTTGGTGGAAAAACTAACAACGGCACAATCAGTTCAAGGGAGAATACTAATTAGTTCGATATTATATTGCGTAATTATCATCGATTTTATCTTTTTATAACCTTCAACAAGTCTACTGCTATAGACCTCCCCCGAGGAAGACCACTAATCCGTACTGAGCCACGTGCATTCATCTCCTGTAAGCCATATAAGATAGTCCCTGGAGATAGTCCCTACATCTAATTGGGGGGCAGCATTCGAAAACCTCTTTTCCCCATCGGCTGTCGCGGTTTTTCGAGCTATATGGTCGTCACGTTGCCACGTTGTTGTAAGTTAAAGTCACACACTCTTATTTTCTTGTTGACAAGAAAATGTAAATATCTAATCTATTCTAATTTTCTAATCTAATTGATATCTCGGTCAACGTTTGACTAACCTTGTCTAACAATTTATTCCTAGATAAACACACCTGTTCGTCAACAACCTATAGCACAGTGTTTCCAACGACGATCTATGTCTTGTTCATGTTCATTTTAAGATATATTCTTTGGAAGAGACTACTGAGGTTATTTAGCATAGTACTAAGGTCCTCCAGTTATTTTTTCATAATGACTGAGTCCTTGTAATATCGAAGATATGAATAAAGAAGTGATGTACTCGCCGTAGGTGTTAATGCTGTATTATTTTCCAGTCCAGTACGTTAAAAACGTCTTCCAATGCAGCAATGAAGAGTTTAGGGGAAATAATGTCACCCTTTCTTACACCCCTTCAGTTCAGGAAAAAAAATTCGATATAACGGCGAGCTACAGGGACTGAAAAACCGCTCAAATTTCGTCGGAATCATAGGCTTTCCATAGTCCACATACGCAAGACAAAGTGGCAGATTTTACTCTCCAATCTTCTGTAGAATTTGTCTAAAGGTATATTTGTGGTCTATAGTACTAAACCTTTTTCGGATGTCGGAAACCGGTGCGGTCTGGATGCTGGAAGTCGTTCAGTCTGTGTGCCTGAGGATTCTTATTTACTACTCAAAACAGCACATATACGCGGCACAGAACAGAAATTGGTCTTTAGCTCTTCTATAGGGCGTTGTCACCTTTCTTGAAGAACAAGACCACTGCACTTCTACTACATGCATCCGTAGTATGTAGGAAATGGAGGACGGAGTTGAAGAGCTTCTGAGACGAACTTTAAATATCTGCTTTCTATCAACTTTCAAAAGTTTCGCTGTAATTCCATTCTCACCCGGGACCTTGCCGTTTTCAAGGTGCAAACGCCATTCTGAATATTATTGGTAACTTGCTGATAAATAGCTAATGCCTAAATGGAAAAGTTTTCGGAGTTTGAATTAGAGCACAAAGGCTGCGGAGCGTTGATTATATTACACGTGGCATCTTCAACTTAACATTGAGGTTTAATAAGGCTTAAAAGTTAAATGTGCCTCTCAGTATCTATATAGGCGGCATATGAATATCTGCCGGAGATTCGTAGCACATTTTTTGCCCTTCCCTTTTCCTTACGTGGGGAAATCCTCATAGATAGCCGGCTGCTCTGTAAGGAAGCAGGCTGACTAAGACGAATACCTACAACTTTATATCAAATACGTGCACCAGAGATCGGGGAAATATGCCTATGAAATTTAAATATTACAAATAGCGTAAAACAGTGGTTTGAGTACTTCGATGGGCATACCATCACGCACTAACATTCTATAATTACGTAATAAGCACGTCTGCGGACACACGTTACATGACATGGTAAAGAACCTACGTTAAGGTTGACATAAGTGATAGAGCCATTTTCTAGAACCTCGATATATTTTGATACAACAGAGTAATGAGACATGAGAGAGACCTGAGTTTATAATTTTTAATATTTTACTGAGAGTTAAAAGAAAATGATTAAGTATACTTTTTTTTATTTTATTTTATCAACATACACAGTCATTACAGGATGAGCACCCTAATTCGACAGTGTAGACAACGGTAAAAACGGAATTCCGAAACGGAACGAACTGGTCGGCCACACACTTAACAACGGTTTAACGCTAAAATATTTAAAAGAATTTTAAACACAAATTTAATAACTCATGACTTACAATGAATGAAATTTACGCCTTAAGACCGGTGTATTCAGGGACAATTTTGATTCATATGTGAAATATAATATCAATAGATTTTACCTTAGATTCTGTTTTTATAGGTACCTTAAGAGATAACCTTAGATTCTGTTTGCGTAGTTCGATATGTAAAAATTTTTCTAATGGGTCGTTTTTACACAGGGTTATTTTGCAATATACGGCCAAATGTGCAGATGAGATTCAGAACAGGTAATATAAGCGAATGGTGAAAAAAAAAACAAATAAAAAACTCAAACATTTTTTTATACTAAGTTTATACTAATTTGTTTTTTTATACTAAAAATGTGTGAAAATGCATTATTTTAACTGATTGTCAGTCATAAAAGTAGCACCTACTATTTTATTACGAACACGCATTCCTAAGGGAGTGTTGAATTCGGAAGCAGTCGGTGGCATTCGGCCAATTCGGCTCTCACGCTCGGTTTATTTATTATTATATATTATTTATTTAGGTATCTATAATAATTTTTTACTCGTTTTTGACTCGGTAAAGACAAGCGCATCTCCCCGCCCTTTCTTTTCTGTAAGGCTCGCCAGACACTACATACTTAATTCCGTTTCGAAATTCCGAAACGGAACGAACTAGTCGGCCACACACATACGGAATCCTGTTTTGGCCGCAAATTTCCAACGGAAAACTACCGTAGGTGTGTGACGGGTCATTGACTTTACATGGACTTGCTGCGTTCGGAACCCCGAATCGGAATTCCGAAACGGAACCCCGAATCGGAATTCCGAAACGGAATCCCGAAACGGAATTCCGTATATATGTGACGGGCCTAAGTCGTTACACCGGCCGCTGCACCGGCAGGCCGACAGTGTTCGCTTGACCGTGACCTCATTACGCACCGAATGTCATATTTTTGAATTTTCGTAGGTAGTATTACTTGTCACTTGGTTAGCAATGATGTAACAAATATATTCGAACCGCGAATACTATGAAATGCTACGGTGTTACATTTTAAACAATGAAAGTTTACGTGGTGCGCAGATTACACGAAAGTGAGTTTTTACCGCGTTTGAAAGACAAGGAATAAACGCACGTGTACCATCCAATCGGAGAACAATTTTTTCTGATAACCAAAGGCTGTTAGACTTTAGACAATTCACCACTCCGTCACATCAAAGTTCTCCAGGTCCAGGTGGTCATCAGTAAGAAGCACGTCGGTCAAAAACGCAGTTATCGAGTTTTTCGAGCGAAACCCTCACGCTAGCACCAATGACACAGCTCGAGAATCCAAAGTTAGCGAGAATCCAAACATCTCAAAACTTATTGAATGACCGTACGTAGGTACTGTAGGTCATTCAATAAGTTTTGAGATGCTCGAAATTTAAAAATGGAACGCACCCGTGTTATATGTTTCTAAAAAGTAAATTTATTTAAAAATAGAAGTCTATACAATATTTAAGCCAATTGCTCAATCTTAAAAAAAAAAAACAAAGTTCCATTAGTTTACCTGCAACGCTTCATGCGCTTTTCATTTAAAACGATGGATCTTAATCGTGAACATTTGCGCGCTATGATCTATTATGATTTTAAATTTGGTTTAACCGAACAATTAAGTTTTACAACGGTTACAATCATCATTAGGGTACTCACATCATTAGGCGGTTTGCTGAATTCAATAAAAATTTATACGTGGTAGAGCCATGCTGCAGTTATATTAGATGTATAGTTGTAGCACGAATGGGTCGGCTCGACCGGGGAAGGACCACGCTCTCACAGAATACCAGCGTGAAATGGTAGCTTAATGCTGCTGTATTTAGTATGGTGAGTGTAGAGAACCGGAGACCCTTTTTACTGGAAATGAAGCACCCCATCTTAGTCCTCACGGGTGACAACGCATCTGCATTTTGATTCGTAATCGAGGATAGATGTAGATAATAGATATTTAATCCTCGTTTCCCATTTCCAGTAAAAAGGGAATCCGGTTCTCTACACTCACCATATGAAACACAGCAGCATTAAGCTGCTATTTTGCGCTGGTATTCTGTGAGCGGCGTAGGACCACACTCCGATCAAGCTGACCCATTCGTGCTACAACTATAATAAAGCTGCAGCGTGGCTCTACCACGTTCAAATAAGACTACCAAATATCGGACATATTACAACACGTCCAAATGGCTCGCTCGTGTGCCTGCTGTACTACCATATGTCAGACGTGTCACAGACAAGATTGGCTATATCTTGAAGCGAGCTTCTATTAGAACATTCTACAAGCCGTCGAAGAAGATTAGTCAGTTCCTACCATCCGTCAAGTGTCATATTCCTCTACAAGATGCAGGAGTGTACAAGCTTGATTGTGAATGGGGTGACTCTTATATAGGACAAACAAAAAGATCAATTAGGACCCGCGTAAAAGAACATATAGCTGATGTGAAGCATCAACGTTCCGGGAAGTCTGCAGTTTGTGATCATATCCTAGACGGACCCAACCATTACATCAGATTTGATAGACCACAAATCCTCGCGAAAGAACACCGATTCCTACCAAGGATGATACGTGAGGCTATTGAAATTAAAAAACATACTAATTTCAATAGAGAAGGAGGCTGGGTACTACCACCTGCTTGGGATCCTATAATCAATAAAATTAAAACTAAACCCAAGCATACCACTGCAAGACCTCAGGACATAGTCAGTTCATTTTGCATAGATCGGACCGTAAACAATAATTAAAAAAGCTGAAGGTACTCCGGGTTTAACAATGACATCGGGACTGTGTCCCCCGTGACGGGTGCGAAAGCGCCCGAAACGTCGGGAATTAAAAATAAAAGTAAATAAAAAGTAAAAATAAATCGCGATAAAATCCGTAAAAGTAGTTTTAATCAACCAAATATATTTATATCCAAATGTAAAAATAAGTGACTCTTTGTTTCTCCTGTGTGCGGTCCTATACCATTTAGGGGGCGTTCAAGTATAAATTAAGCAAACTTTCTATGATTTTAGATTGATTTTAGACGTGAACGCCCCCTTATTCGATTACGGTGTATCTTTGGTGAGTTATTTTGTGCGCAATTTCGAAGTTTTGTTACAAAAATATTTCTTTGTTCATTTTTCATGCGTTCCTTCACCATTCCGAATTACAAGCACGCCGGGCACAGCCAGTAATATAAAACTACATAATCTTCAAAATACATAATAGTAGAAAAATATATTTAAAATTACCACCATTAGTAGAAATATACTGACCTTTCTATATATGAGAGAACAGCAAGCAACCCTGAACTTCATGCCCATGTGTAAAATTGCCATCATGTACGGGTGTGTCACGAACACATTGAGAGCAGAACATAGAATCACAGCCCCAGCGTATAAAAAGGCTTCTCTGGGTTTCATCGTATTCTGTTCTGGGCCGTAGTATTCAACTAGTTTACCTAAGAATACTGGTTGAGCTATTCTGTTGGGAAAACAAACAAAACATTTAATAACGCACGCAATACGAGGAAATAGAGAAATCAAATTTATTAAAATACAACCAGGCAGCGGTAAACATCGCAAGTAGCTGCAAACAATGTACGTAGTAATTTAACTTATCAACGGTCGTTCATAAATGCTCAGCTCGGAACTTCCTAGGGTTGACTATTAGAAAAATACGGTTTCAGTACTTTTAACCAAATCGAAAATTGTATACCAACAATTAACCAAACTTTAAAAGTAAAACCTTACGCACACTTGCGTTTTTTTCCTGTATCGTAGAGGTATTTTACAAACATAAATGGCATAACGACAAACATCCAGACCCGAAACAAATGTTTGTGGGCCTACAAATACTAAGGACATGTTTAGCAGTGGATTTGTGAAGGGTTGTGATGATGATGATGATGATACAAATTACTTATACATACTATTACTTAATTTTACAGCCAATATAATTCCACACCTGAACTCAGGCCCCTCGATTGCCTCATAGCAGAACTTTTGCCATAGTTTTCACGCTTGATAACCGCAATTATATTATTTTCCGGCTCATCAGGAAGATGGTGCTGCCCATTTCCTATTGAAGTTTTCCTATGCCACATTTAACGACACTCCCACAGAGTGATATGGGGCAGTATATATTCTCACACTACACGGTATTTTGTATTATTAACACTAAGTTGATTATGATACAACCATGAAAAACATCCTTTATTTGAGGCTTCCATATAAAATATTTTTCATTACGCCTACTTTATTACGACACCCGTACTTATTTTGGAAAAATACATCTTTCTGCCAACCCTAACACCATTTTCTGATAATTATACAATTGTCAGTGACATGCTGTTGGTTACTCGCAGATCGTAAACCATAATGATTTGTATTCATCTTGCGTTTTAAAAAGTAGGCTGCGTTTCATCGCCACCACCATCAGTACAACTTTATAAGCCCACCCACATCCATCAACTTCCTTCATCTCTTACTAGGTCGTCACTCCATCTACCATCGTCACATAGAGAAACTACGAGCGTAACGCCAACCATTGCTCGCCGAGCTTTCTCATACGGCGAGCAGTGAAGGTTCTCGTCACAGATCAATTCAATCATTGACAACACGCAGTTTTTGTACACTCTTATTTTCAAGGTTTAAGGCAATAAATACGTGGCGAGAAGATGTGTCGTAATCTCCCGAACGTCAAATGAAATTCCATCTGACTGATAAAATACCATGAACTCATTACAGGGAACTGGGTCATGTTGCGAGCCATCTGATACTACGTCACTAAACGGACAATTAATATCAACAAGCGAATGCTCACTTCTTGTCCGTTTCATTATGAAAACGCGTGCGAGCCATAGCAACTTGATCCTGAAGAATCATAAGGCGCCTGTTCATCAACAGCTTTTCGGCTTGACTAAAGTAACCGATGAATAAACCCAACATGCGAGGTTGTTGGATCCTAGAAGGATACGGAAAAGGAAATATATTAAGGAATAAGTACATAGGTACGTAAGGATAGGGTAATAGGAATGCGTAGTGGAAGTTTAATGCCCCAACCTCAGTTGATTTGGTGTATTATGTTAACTGCTTAATTTATTTAATTAACATATCAAAATATTTTGTGAAAAATATGCACAAGTTCATCATAAAATCGTAGTAAAATAATAATTAATTGTAAAAGCACATAAAATAATATTTATTCCCATCCCACGAGCTATAAAACTTCAATTTATTATATAATATTAAGTATTAAGTTCATTATCAGTTGTAAATTATTCTGTTTGAGAAACGGCACTGGCGCATTTATCTGCCTGCATCTACATTTTAAATATACGATATTAAGCAAATTTATTCAGAGTTGATTATCAAACACAAAAAATAGCGAAATTATATCACTAAAACTGAATTTTAAATACCGATAAGGCGGTCTAGGAAAAAACCGTCAAGAAACCAATATATCTGGTAATATAGTGACTAAGGTGGTAAGGTCTTTGTCAACAAATCACTATTAGGTACTAGACATTTTATTAATTCGTCACTTTAATTTTGCAGGTGCAATCCATATAGATAGATGCATTTAACTATATCATTACCTAAAATTATAATCACTTTCGCCCATTTTAGCCATATTATTTATGTACTTATTATAAGAATAACAGCCGAAAAAGCAATGAAAACGATAATAAACGTTATAGAATGAAACTGTTAAACTTTAAAAACAAAAATATAAATTAATTTCTAGAAAACAGCTGTAGAGGTTGGAGCCAAGACGTAGTGTGCCGAAGAATTAACGTTCGGGACCTCAGTAGCTATTAATGTGCAAATTATTTTTTAATAGGTTTTACTTCTTTTTAATATTATTAATTATTTTACTCTTTTGAGTGAACTTAAGTAGAAATATCACAAGTTAACTATATTATACTTTTAATTCTTTCTTTCTATGTAAAGTTATTTGTACTAAAAAAGGAACCAGCCCTTTATAAACATAAGGCTTAAATGTTATAAAATTTTATTACACGAAATGAAAGAAAACAACTGAGAGGGAAATGATTGGTGAATGGATGAGAGCGACAGTAGCCGAAAAATGTTTTGAATTTAGAGCAAGGGAATTATAAAAAACAAACTTTTTTTTTAGATACACGTTATAGTCTAAATTACAAAAATTAATACAAAAATAAATCGAAGAGATGAAATATGAATACCGACATTATACACATACAATATGCATTAATATAGTTATGCATTAAATAGTATCTGTTACATTTACTTTCTCGTCTCACTTTATAACCAAGATATAAAACATTGCCAGCATGCATTTCATATTAAGAAAGACATTCTATTTTTACTGACAGAATGCGTAAATAATAACTGTCGACAGAGATATGTAAGGAAACTTCCGTATCTACGAACTACTAGTTAATTAGTCATATTAATCAGTAAAAGCAGACACTACATTTTTCAGGAATTAATAACGTGCAAAATATTCAGGATAAGTCGATAAATGTTCCACTCAAAAATGTGATGTAGTGTCTTTATTCGATAAAAACTTTTTTCAGACAGAAATTTTCATAAACGTTTTATGATATTACTTACGAGTAGGTAGTTAAATTAAAAATTTTGTAGAACGAATTTCAATATAATAACATTGACATAAATGAGGGTGTACCGTGGTGTATAATGAACATATCCGCGTACCACTTTAGGGATACAGGCGTGATATCATGTTGTGTGATCGCGTAAACAATGCATAGATATGCGATAGCAGCAATCGCGGTTGATTTGCTGGCATTTCTTGAAGAGTTCCGTTGTCTGCTTTGATTATATATACCTGTCTTGTTTGTCTCCGAAAATCATCATCAGATCGTTACGAAATTTAAATGGGACCATTTCGGAACTAATCTATTTCAAACAGAAAAAGAATTTTGCAAATCCGTCTATATAATTATAAGGGAGTTATGGCCGAATATACATAAAAAATATATAATCCTCCGAATTTAGAACCTCCTCCTTTTTTGAAGTTGGTTAAAAAATTGTGCCACAGCTAAAGTATATGGCTAAAGAGAACATATTATGCCGTAGTATGTAAATAATGGTGACGATGATGATGTAATTCGAATTAAGACGCTGACGGCAGCTTATGAGTTTTTTGTCGGACTAGGTACGTAAAAAAGATAAAGGAGCGATGTCACAACACTTTTAAATTTCCTATTTCAAAACTTAAAACAGTTTCATCCGTGGTAGAGCTGTAGTTATATTAGTAGTATAGTTGTAGCACGAACGGGTCGGCTCGACCGGGGAAGGACCACGCTCTCAAAGAATACCAGCGTAATATAATAGCCTAATGCAGTTGTTTCGTATGGTGAGTGTAGAGAACCGGAGACCAATTTTATTGGAAATGAGGCATTCTATCTTAATTCTAACGGGTGACAGCGCATCTGCATTTTGATTCGTAATCGAGGATACATGTAGGTGTCTATGGGCCACAGCAACCACTTAACCCTCCGGTGGACTGCGTGCTCGTTTGTCACCCTATCTTATAAATAAGTAATTATAGAAAATAAGTTGAGTAGTATGCAATCGAAAATAAATAATTAACATTAAAAAAAAGTAAAATCCGACTAAATCAGATAATAAATTAAAATAAAATAGGGGTGAAGTTTAAGAATTAACATTAAAACTTTATCCCTTATTTTTCCACCCTTGGGATGAAGTTTTTCCTTAAAATTTATATCGGACCACCCCTTAAGAATAACCTATTTAATAAAAGAAGAATCATTGAAATCGGTTTACCCGTTTACGAGAAATCAATGAACACACAACCTTCCAGTTTTTTGAACTCTGTTAAAAACAACTATATTCTGTTTTCAAATATGATTCGTTGTTTTTATTAATTTTACTAAAAATTTTTTTCGACTGTAATATTAACACGTTAGTTTACCATTTTTTTTTGTTTCGATAAAAATTTTCATAAACGCGTTTTGAACACCAAAGTTATTTTCAGATATGTATAAATTTGGCTTAAATTTGTTTCAGACGACCCTTTTTGGTTTCTTATCAGGAGCGCCTTTAGTACAAGCTATTACCACGAATTTGTGCACAATCACTTCTAGATATACACATAATGAGGCAAATAAGTAAGATTCCACTAGTTTTGGTACATTTTTGGAATAATAATAATTATTTTAAAATATAAATAGGCAAAGAATTTATGTATGCATTTATGGCATTTACGGTTCTTAACTCAAAGAAACATAATCTGAAGTCGGCGTAGACTACAATATAGGACTTTCACTATTGAGCGGGCTTAAAAGACTTAGGCAGGTACTAGTGGTTAGTTTTTAATCCAATATAACTAGGTCTTATGAAGAGGAGGCGCTAATTAGCCAAGTTAATATTATCCAATTATATTCCTTTACATTTAAAATTTATTTACTAAGTTAAATCGTACTAATTGCGATTTTATCATAGATTTATATG